CCCCCCCCCCCCCCCCCTCGCGAGTTATCTCACGTATTTTCTGGAGCATTCCCAACAAATACCAACGGATATTGTACCTCAGTGTTTCGAATAAAATTAAAAACCGGGGGATATTTGGTTTTGTTGTTGTTATATAGTAATGCTATTTTTGCTAATGAATTAGCAATATGGGAATGATCAAATTAATGGACATTTTCCACATCAGTTTCTTGCAGTATATCGTTTCATAACATATTTAGGCTTTTTTCGGGGGGAAAGTCGACTTTTGCCAAAATCGAATTTTTCCGCCGAGTGAACGTTGATTCTGTATTTTCTGGCCCGCCTAATGCCACTGCGCCCCTCACTTACCCCAGAAATGCAGAAATAAAAAATTTTTTTTTCACCCGCAGCCAAAGTGCCATATTTAGGTTTTTTCGGGGGGAAAGTCGACTTTCGCCAAAATCGAATTTTTCCGCCGAGTGAACGTCGATTCTGTATTTTCTGGCCCGCCTAATGCCACTGCGCCCCTCACTTCCCCCAGAAATGCAGAAATAAAAAAAAAATTTTTTCACCCGTAGCCAAAGTGCCATATTTAGGCTTTTTTCGGAGGGAAAGTCGACTTTTGCCAAAATCGAATTTTTCCGCCGAGTGAGCGTTGATTCTGTATTTTCTGGCCCCCCTAATGCCACTGCGCCCCTCACTTGCCCCAGAAATGCAGAAATAAAAAAATTCTTTTGCACGAGGAACTGTACACAGTCCCGTCAGTCTTTTTCATAAGTTGCTCTGGATTCATAAAAGGGGTTATGAAGCAATAAGAAATTATTTGAACACATATCCGTAAACATTAAAAATAAAAACATCTTTTTTTTATAGAGCTGTTACCGTACCTTCTCTAAATTTTTATAAGAAAATATTTGGCGCGTGAAAGATCTCATTCGTATGCAAAATCCCGGAATAACTCTAAAAATAATAAATCGATAACAACATACCACATTGAGAAAGTTGAGTGCCTCGCAGAAGAGATAACACAATGCATAAAAGTTATGGGTATGTAAATGTGTCGATGCAAAGTATTCCACAAGCTGTTCTCTTCTCTCCTGACTCCAGACATCTCTCAGAAAGGGTGAGGTGAGATCTCGGGTGAGTAGTGCGACAGTGCCACGCTCCCAGACACCCCACAGTGCCCTCGGTGTATAAAAGATTATTGCTTGGAGACCAAGAACGAAACAAACCTGTTGCGCAGTTTTGTGACAGCGAAAGGAGAATACGTTAATCCTATGGGCAATCAAGTTTAAGTAGTTACTGGATACTGACCCATTGGTAATAGCGATGATGGTGTATCTCGTCGTTCTCAAGTGCTGGACCAACACCGGGACTGGCAACATTGCGTCCTGGAATGCCCCGCAAGTGTCTCGAAACCGTAAATGTACTGTATATCCAGCAGTATGCATTAACTGGCTCCTTATCTGATTTAAGAGATGTTGTGGGGTTGATAATTAAGAATTGGTCAGGCAAATATTGAAATTTCATCAACAGTTTAAGGATGTACTGCACCCTTTCGGCCAAAATTCGCGTTTTTTTTCATTTTTCTGGCAAATTATTGATCGGATTGACCCGAAATAATATACCGTTTTTGCGTTTTATTATTATTGACTGATTCACGAAGTTTCATGGTAGTGCAATCATTTTCCTGCATTTTTTCTAAAGTTTTGTGAATTTCCGGAAAGTTTTAGAAAAAACGCAGGCAAATGATTGCACGATCATGAAATTTAGTGAGTCATTATGTAATGATAAAATGCAAAAACGGTTTTTTTCACCTCAATCCGATCAACAATTTACCAGAAAAATTCAAAAAAACATGAATTTTGGCGAGAAGGGTTTAATACATCATTAAGGGAAGACTATACTACGAGATTTAAAAGTCGCGGCTATTGGAATGAGATAATTAGTGCAAAAATAATTGTTTATTGTTAATTTACCCCACAAACGCTAAAAATGTTAAAAATAGTCCAAGGACACCAGTTTTTGAGCTACAGAGGTATTTTTTTCAAAAATTTTGAAAATATGTGTGCTATAACAATTACGAATTAGTTTTTTGAAATTCCACTTCCACACAGTTAATTTCATTATTTTTTACATAAAAAATTACACCATTCATGTAAATTAGTTCGAAAATTTTTTCGGAAAAAATAGAGAATATATTTTAAATGTTTTAAGGATAATTTTTCTGGCTATTTTACATGAACGGCACAAATTTTTAAATTAAACAAAATAAAATTAGCTGTGTAGGAGTCGAATTTCAAAAAACTAATTTGTAATTGTTATTGTACACACTTTCAAAAATCTCTGTAGCTCAAAAACTGGAGGTCCTCGACTATTTTTAATATTTTAAGCGTTCAATAAGTGAATATTTGAATAAATATTTACACATTTGGAGAATAATTGCGTTTTCAATACTTGTCTTACTGAAAAAATTAATAACCGCCGAACTACGGCGGACGACAAACTCTAATTGGCGCCAAAATTCTTCTCATTTCATTGACATTTTTTGGTGAAAATTTCAGATTTTTTAAAAAGGAGCTTTTTGAGTAATTAACGATTGAAAAAAAACACGTTTTTTCATACAAACCCCGTCAAACTGAAGATAATCCTATATATAACAGCTCAATTAGAGGGGTTTTTCATGTTCTTTAAGTGTGCCAAAGGGCGATTTAATAGCTTGAATCCCCGCTGAGATATTGGGGCCAATTTTACAGAAAAAAAACCTTGACAAAAACTCGAAATTTTCAAAAAATCATAACTCTCTCAATTATCAATATTTTTCAATTTTTTTTTTTTAATTTTATCTAATGGCCATCTTTTAACAGTGCAGAGGCTGAACGATTTTCAGCCCCTCAAGAAGTTATTTAGTCCCATGATTTATTTTCCATCATCTCGCGTGATCCACAAAAAAATCATGCTCGTGTTATTTTTATTCCGGCATTTCACCGTAAAACGAGCTAATGCCACAAGCAGGCATATCCGGTGGGGAGATTAAGTCTCCTACAAACCGGAGAGGCTTAACCCGTAACTCTATTCAGATGCTGTTTTCGTGTTTTTGTTGAATGGGGAGAAAATCCCTTCCTAAGTCTCGTGGTACAAAAGCAGCGATGTATAATTTCCAAGTGCTTTGCCGATTGATCCGTCCGGTATAGGGGTGATTGGCTGCGCAAGGTACAACAACAACTCTATCCAAAACAGGTGTCCGCTTAACAACTCTCTCCATCTTCAAGTCTACCATAACAAATCTATCGTACCCATTTGATAATAATGGCTTTAGTAAAGGAGTTTGGGGCGAGATCCTATTCCTATTCTAAAAAGAACATACACTTAAAGTCGATAACTATCGATATCTCGCAAGTCTGTCACGCTTATTCCTCATTGGTTCCAGTCGTCTGAGGCGGCAAATTTAATTCATGATTAATTTAATTTTGAGATTTTCAATTATGATTGTTACAAATAATAAAAAAAGATATATAAATTAGTGACGCTTCTGTGGATGACGAGAAAGAACGAGACGATAGTGCATGGAGGTGGTTGAGAGGGATGAACACACAGAAAAACCTCAACCTCAATTACGTTTCGATAAATGTAATTTACGCTTAACGTCAATATAATGTCCAGTGGCTTTTTTTCGTCATGAAAATCGGAATTTAGGCTTTAAAAAGGCGTACACAGCAAAAACGAATGTCTGAATTTCACACCCCTTTTGTAGACATTTTTCAGGCACTAAAAAACGTCTAAATAAGATGAAAACGTGTCTGAATTTCAGACGAATCGGTGGCCAAACATTTTAATTCATGTTTGAAATTAAAACAAATTTTCATTTTATTCAGACGTTTTTTAGTGTTTGAAAAATGTCTACAAAAGGGGTGTGAAATTCAGACATTCGTTTTTGCTGTGTATTTTAATACCTTAATAAATTTAATATTGAAATTAACATGCCTTCAGCAGGAAAGGTGCCGTATGGGGACACCTATAGATCTATGGGAGCATCCATCATATAATATGAGATGTCTCAAAGAGGTTTAAAATCATTAATAGCAGCCCATGATTTTCTTACGCGTAATTTGCGGGAAAAAACGTCGTGTCTTGCGCTTGAAATAGCTTTTTTTCACATCAGGTCATGATTCATTTCAAATCAATATTTGTTCATAGTAACGTAATGAGTTGAATCGTTTTTTTTTCACAATGAGTTGTCTCGGCATATTTTGAAATTAACGGCGATGGTAAAATTAGGTAGTCACAGACATTTTTTTACGGAGAATAATAGCTATAAAAGAAGTTCTTGTAGGAATTTTAGTTTAGTCGTTATTTTCAGAAATAAGGTTGGGTGTCAATGATTCTTTTTTTGCTGCACGGAGAGAAATGTTCAGTAAAAATTACGGAACTCACAGTTTGCTCACCGATTATATGGAATCGACTCAGAAAATGTAAGTGACGGTAACGTAATTTTTCACAGGGGATTCAGGTAAAAATTACTGAATGCTCTAGAAAAATTCCGTGATTTTAGATAAAATTACGTGCCAGTTACGTAAAATTTCCTACAACCACATTTCGCTCCGGAATCACGGAAAAGATTTTTTTTTTTATATTACGGCCCTTTCTGCCCTCTCATTGGTTAATCGGCCCTACGGAAAAGATACGTAATTTTGATTGAATATTTCTCTCCGTGTATGCGCGAAATTTAACAAACACCGTGAATATCATTGAGATAAAACTAATTAATTTTGAAATAACTTTTCTATTCCAGGAGCACTTTAGCCCTTACCTATAGACTATTGAATAGATAAAATTCCAGCAAGAAAACTTATGAATAAATGATCGTACGATTCCTATGGCAGAGCTAAATGAGAGAACCGAAAATAAATTTTATGTTCTCTGATTTCTAAATTATTCAACAGAAACTAAAATCCAAGTGCTATTGATTCCTGATATTTCGGTGCTTCACTACTTATCGGCTCATGTAATTTGGGATTTATTATCGAAAATGAGAGAGAGTGGAGTGCTTCCAAATGTAATCGAATTAATCAGTTGAATGAAATATTCAGTTTGTCGAAAATCCATCGCAATATTCACTGGAATTTTCGTGCACTGCTTAACTAATATGATGTACATGCAAATGGGATTCCATTATTAAAAATTGGAGAGGATTTGATTTTTTTTGTTTAATCGCTTAAGTACAAGCTCCATATGCCATATAGATCCCAGCGAAAGTGCATGTTTGTTTTCAATTCCATTCAATTCCATTCACTTTTTCTACATAATATTTTCTCTCGCATATTTCTATTAAAAAACGCGATTTTTCAACAGAATCAACCAAAAATGTATTGAAAGTTCAATAGAAATCCAATAAAATTTTCCAGTAAATTCGCTAGGTTTTCCATGAAATTTTTTCGCGCGTGAACATGACTTACCGATTGATGCGTCCGTTATACACGAGATGGGCTCGCCAACATACTGCTTGGCTGAAATGATGATGGAGCAGGTGACGAGGATGACAACAGTCACCCGTGAGTGTAACCTAAATACGATATTGTCAATAATAACTGGCTCCCGTGACAGAAGACACTTGACCGGCTGAAGCAGTTCAAACATTCTTTTGAGAAACTCGATAAAACGGAGGGAGGCAAAGGGCTGGAGGACTGGCGTATTAAACAACGAGTCAGTTTCAAGTTGGAAATATCACCCCGGAGAGTCTTCTCGGAAAATCAATGGATGATCTTCGAGTGGAAAATGCACTCACTTGAAGTTACGTTCAAAACTTGGAGACAATTGAATAGTAACCCAACGGTACCTTTACTATGCTCTTCGGGGGAATCTCCTTTTGTTAATGTCGACATTCTATTGTCAAAGTTTCGAGGACACTGGATAGATATTCGGACGCCGAAATGGCATTAGCTTTTGGGCTAAGTTACTTCTGCTGTGAGGACTGTTGAAACTTTTCGATATATCATTGGTGAACTTGGGGAATTGGAAGAGATAAGGGGATATTAAATTTTTGGGTTTCAGCTTTGATGATATGTAGAGGTCTTTTTTCTTGGGGAGGAGAGGTCGGTGCAAAGTTTTCAATTGATGGGTTTGGGCCAGGGGTCAATGGGTTTGGAGGGATTGTTTGGATGCGTTTTGTTGGGACAAAGTTTCGGGGGCAACAATTATTTACTAGGAGTTTCTCGATATTGTAGGACCAACGGGAGGCGGAGAAAACGGTTTCTGATTGTCCAGCGGAGAATCTATGGGGGTAGAAATATTCTCAAACTATTCTTTTTTCTCAATGAGGAGGATTAAGGATGTTTAACTTATCAAGTGGACAACTCAGTTGAAAAGACAAATTAAATTGACTAAATAAATCATTCACGTTACAAATTATTTTTCTCAACAAATTAGAAGTGTTGTGGCGTACTTTTCTGGTCTCAAAAACAATAATTAAAGAAAATGAGCATAAATAATGGGGGACTTGTGACTGCGGTGGTAACAGTCGAATTTTGAGCGGGCAACATCGCACGCTTCGGCTAGTAGTGGGGTTGTAACAGTGAGATGAAATATGTTTGTGTGTGTTATACGTGTCCATATGCTTACAGCACTGAATTATCGTCACCGACTTTACCGACCTCGATCAGCTGTTGCGCGGTGTTGTCGCGTTGCTCGATTCGTAATGGCGGTCAAATTTTTTTTAGAGGAATCCGAAAATCAATCGAAGATATCACGCCTATATGGCCCGGTCGCCTACTTGTTCTCGCTGGCGATAGATTCTCCATAGTCTAAAGTAAATGGCTTGTGTTTTTGTTTCAATGTCTTGAGTGTCTAACCCATGCAACATCTCGATCAAAATTCACACGGTCACGTTTTTTCCCTAAGCGTAATGTTACAAGAAGTGATTTTCAGAAATTAATTTCTCACTAGAACGCCTCGATGGATGGATTCAGAATATTAAAACGTGTGGCTCAAATCAAATGATTGTCGTACAACAGATTATATTTTTCCTGCCAACAGTTCGAATTCTTTCAGGAGTATTTCTGATGATGACGACATAAAATCAATTTAATTTCCTTCCATCCGGTTGGTTAATTTTCCTCAAGCAAATGTGTTTCACTCCATCAAATAATTTTGCGTGGAACATTAGTGGCCATTTCACTAAAAATTGTCACTCAATTATTGAACAAATTAATAATTAATCTCCATTAATTGCCTAATTAAAATCGTTATTTTTGAACTGAATATTCACTACAACCTCATAATTTTCATCATCTTTATTTGTAAAAAATATAATAATCATTGATACAATAATAATTACAATATTAATTGCATCGATATATAATGATTAAAACCTAAACTAATTCAATAATTAATCTCCATATTTCCATTTATTTCGAAAACGAATGGTAAATCAACGTCTACCATTGGGGGGGGGGGGGATTTATTTACAAGCAGAGATATTCGTATTTGTCATTCTCTCATCAATTTCAATAATATCTTAATTCTCAATCTATTAAATTACTTTTTAACTGGATTATCAAATTTGGCGGAACGATTATTGTCTCAATCCGCCACGTTGGAAGTGAAAATTGGGTCAACAATGTGCGCGGAATTACGCCAAGCAAATGTCTGAAACTTCATCCTGTCTTATCGAATATTCCTCCATCAACGCTGGAATTTAATTACACCTGTCATAATCAATTTCTACACAGGTATTTGTAACAGGATTCCTCCAGTCTAGTTAATGTATGGATTATTTGAATCGGTTACGTATAAAATTTTTTTAGAAATGTTTTATAGTACCTCCTTATACAGTTTTTCATCGGAAACTATAATTTTTGCGTTCGAATGGAAGCAAAAAGGGGAAATTACAATTACATGAACGTAATTTATGACGATTTTGAGCGTAATTTACGATTGCAAAATCGTAAATTATAACGATTATAAATCGTAATTTATGACGATTATAAACGTAAATTACCATGATTTTTTTCGTATTTTTGATAAACGTAATTTATATTTTAATAAATGTAAGACGCTTTGTTTAGGCGTTATTTACGTTTTGATAAACGTAAAATCGCTTTGTTTAGGCGTAATTTACGTTTTTATTTTGACCGTAAAATACGCTTTTTTAAGGAACTTCCGCAGTAAATATATGAGAGTAGAAGGAAATGGACTGCAGAGCTGAAATTTTGAGAATATGTTCTTTGAGTGATTACAAATATCCTCCTGAAGTCCCAAAACGCTGAACCACGTAGATTGTTGAGGAGAAAATATGAAAAATGTGTCATCAACACAGAGTTTTATGGCACGACTTTTTCAAAAATCACAAAAAAATAATCGACAATGGAATAAAAATCCAAACGCTTCACGAATAGAACCGCATATATTTCAGGAACATGTCGCCACAATTTCATTAGCCGCCACCACAGGGATTATTTGTAATTATTGAAAATGTATGGCATAGTTCGGGATTTTAGTTACGTTAGAGGAAACTGATGGCTGAACATGGCAGCGTTGAGAGAGGTTAGAGTGCGCGCGGCGGAGGCCACCGTGTGAACTCCGCCAAGGCATATAATATAGATTCTATAGTACAGTATAGGATTTTATCGGGACACAAGAATGCCAACTGCGCCGAACAAAAATGCGTGGTTGTCAAATCTCTCATGAAAATGTTTACTTGTTAAAAATTTCGGATAAATAATATTTCGGAATAAAAATTATTTGGAATTGATTAATCATGAATAATAAGTGCAAAGAAATCCAAACGACGAAATTTCAATACCCCCGTGAACTTTTCGTCATTTTATTATTTTTTTTTCAAAGGATGCAACGGAACCTTTGATATTTTCCCCCTCTCCATAGCCCCAACATTTACTGCGGAAGTTCCTTAAAGCCTAAATTCCGATTTTCATGACGGAAAAAAAGCCACCAGACATCATATTGACCTTAAGCGTAAATTACGTTTATCAAAACGTAATTTACGTTTAGGCTGTGTATAGACATTGAGTAATCATTACCGTTCGTCGTAGTAATTTTTTATGGATATCCGGATAAATTTTACATCATCAGGACAAATTACTCTGACGTTTAGTAAATTCACCATTCGTCTCGCATTTTTTTCCTCGATCTAGACTCAAAAAGATCTAGAGCTCAATTTCGCTCCACAATTATTAATTTGCTCGATAATTCCCCATTTTATTTCCCCGCGCATAAAACACTTCTACAAAATTTAATCTCACGTGTCAATTCATCAATAATTTCACAGATGCAGCATCAGAGAACCCTCCGTAAATAAATCATACGATATGTACATCGACATAAAATAAAAATCGTTAGTCACGATTGATTATATTTCCATGTCAGTGAATAAATATGAGATTCAGTTGAAATACATAATTTAATGATTCTCGTTGGCATTCGAGGGCGGAGCATTACCTCGAGACTCATCTCTACGTAGTTTTCACAGTTTTCCCAATGCACTTGAGCGACGGCCTTGTGATTTATTGAGCTGCGTCAATCCATACTAATGAATTTGATACTTCTACAGTATCGAGAAATTAACTCTCAAGATCTTCATTGTAGCTTCTTCGGATGAGAATTATTCTTGTTATCGTCTATCAAAATGGTCTCAACTGTCTAGTGGCTGTGAACTTATGATTAATCACTGACTCGATCATATCTCGGGTAGCGCAGGTCGACGAGAAATAAGAGAATTCGTTCGTCGGGGTTGGGAAGAATACGACTTTAGAGATGACTTCATTTCACAATTGTACGGATAAAAAATATACGTGAATTGAGTATATTTTATACCGGAATCAAGCATATACATTATTCTTTCTAGAAGTATAAAATATACTTGAATCAAGTATATTTTGCTATATTATCCAAACTCTGCAGATCTGAATTTAAATCACGATATTGAACCGTTAAAAACATTTAAAAAATCTGAAAAAAAAAATTAGAAACTTTATTTTTAGAGGAAGATTGACGAAATATTTTGAAAAATTGCAGTTTTTGAAAATTACGAGCATTTTTTGATAAATAATTTATAATCACGATACCCCAATCATCCCGAAAATCCCTTTGAAAGCAAAAAAATTCAGCACGTCCCGTCGACCCTCAGCACCCACCAACCGTAACGCCCGCCTCACCCCTTTAGTACGGAACATGAATATCCCTGGATCTGCTCCTCCGCCTGCACACCCTACAAACAGCAACAAGACAAGCAAGACCAAGCATAATAGCTAGACCAGCACCAAGTCCAGCTCCCGCCCACCCAGCTGGACCACCCATTCCACCACTCCCCCCAGCTACAGGTCCCCCGCATGTCTCAATCGACTCGTCGTCTGGCTCCATCAGACTGACATTGTACGTGCCCACAGCTAAATTTACCGTTGGACAATTAACAACTCCATTGCACACTAAATGCTCCGGTATACATCCCGTGTTACCCGGGCACTGAAATCCACATCCCTCAAGTTTCTGGGTTTTCAATTGCCCGGAACCATCGCGCGGTAATCTAAATAATTCTGTCCATGCAATCTTAAAGGCAACTCGGGCTGGTGCCATTGAGCCAGTGAATAAAATAACAACTGGTGGTGGTTCGCCATCGGCAACTTTCGGCTGACCAAGCTGAATCGCTGAAAATATTGGCATCTCCCTGACATAGCTCACATTTTCACCGCAAATGGCCAAATAGGGCTCCACCACACCCCCGAGAAATATCTCCAATTTTCCATCCTCACAGGATCTCGATGCAAATTTAATTTTATCAAAATGCAGCCACAAATCCTTCTCCGCATTAACTCGCAACTCCCAGATGCACTTGATGGATCGGGGTGGTGTCACATAGCCAAGCGCCTCATAATTCGGAAATTCAATTTCTCCATCGGTGGCGGGTGGTAGTAAAGCTGGTCCACACAGCGGACTGTGTACAAACTCGTAGCGTGCCCTGAACAGAGCGGCCGATTGTTTGAAATAACTGCTTGCAGCATGACCACCGTCGACCAAAAGCTTGAGCTCGAGTCTGTCGCCACGTGAGACGATCTTGAGCGGCGCCAGAGGTGGTGACAATCTGCAGAGACAGTGACCCTTGCCGGATTCCGGCGACGGTTCACGCACAATAATGCGATCAGCACGACTGTCCCAACAGTGTCCGCACTGGCTGTACGGATTGTCCTTGAAGGTGACTGATTCAACGGTTAAAATAATGCGAGCGAACAGTCTCTTGTCCGTGATGAATGTGTACGTGCAGACAAGATCGTTCGGTGGATCGCCAGGGCGTTTATACAATAATGTGTTCAACGGTGATCTCATTTTACCCGACTGCGTCTTCCACGACGTGAAAGTCTCATCGCACTCGGTGTTTGGCACAGGTTCGCCGAACCTCGTGGCATTGAAGAAATCGTAATGCGCCCAATAGTAGAGTGAACTGCCCGAGTAACTGCCAGTTTTACTCTCAAATCTCACGAACATTGCGTTGGAAGTTGATACAAAGTCGTGTTTCTCCATTGGCTTGCTGAATGTATCGCAGAATGTCTTTATTATTCTGGCATCATCTGGCCAGTTGGCGTCGTACAGGGTGAGACTCTCACCGCAATCGCCGTCGTAAGGCAAGATTGGTGATTCAATGCGATTAACACGGAAACTTGGAAAATAGAGACGTGCTATTTCGCCGGGTCGTCCTTTGAGTAGATACGTACAACTTGTGTGGGGTGGATACCAGTGGGCCACTGACAGAAATATACCTTCATCATTAGCCACTAGGGACTCGCTGTTTAGGAGCCAATCGCATGAGCCATTTTTAACACCAGCTGTTTCAACGTGAGCTGGCCAATTGCCAACGTTGAAGTGAAAGCCAGTGTTTAGGAGTGGTCCAGCTGGTGATGAGACAAATTCAACGTACAGATCAGCGCTTGTACCGATGATGCTGTATGGAAATTTTCCCATACCGCAGAATGTACCAATTACGGGTGATGTTTCATCTTTGCCGTCGTAAACTCGTATGTAGTCGTAGGGACAGTGTTGTGAACCGGAACTTATTGGTCTCATTGGGCATGTCATGATGTTCTCGCAGCGCTGGCCGTCGATATTAAATTCCTCGTTCTCGATGTATAATTTTATGAAGGGCTGTCTTGTGTTTAGACGGTATTTACAGTGGAGTGCGCGCGGGTATATGCCGGGATAAGCTGGACTCTGGACGTAACATGTCTGGAGACGACAGTCCTTGAAATCACGCTCGCAGTAACTGCCTGGCACCACCTCACCACGACGATTTGGATAGAGCTCGGGATGTTGGCCGTAACGCAAGTAAACTTCGAACTGTTGTTCTGCACGTGAGTCAAAGCTGAAGTAGGTTTGGTCAGTGAAATTGTCAGCGTGGAATAATACGCGGACGAAACTCGTCTCGGAGATGAAGGTCTGGGGCTGCTCCGACTCACCGCAAAATATCCCCGGGTCTTTGCGATTGCTCACTGAGGTCTTTGTGTTTCCGTCGATTATCTGGAACATTAAGGAAAAAATACGGTTGAGGAGTCGGATTTTTTTTGGTCTTCTGGTTAATTTCTGATACATTGTTGGAAATTTTGCGAAATTTCATGGAAAATATAGGAGCGATTCTCGTGAGAGTGACATTGAACCGGATTTAGGGGAAAAATGATTATGAAATTTCAGGTTTTAGGTAGAATTCATGGAAATTAATGAGTTTTCAGTCGCAGTGAGACGGAAATTTTACAATTTGATTGAATTTTTAATGGAACATGAATATTCGGAAACAAAATCACATGAATTTTCAATTTTTAGCTGAGTTTTCCAGATTTTTCCAAATTTTCACGGATTAATTGGACTGAAAAATCAAGTATTTTATTGATTTTCAGATCATTCGAACAGATAATCAATGGAATATTTCATTTTTCAAGGACAAGATTTCCTGAAATTTCAGTGGAAATTAAACATAATGAAAATTTCCAGAATTTAACATGGAAAATTCAGACGAAAATTTTCAACAGTGTATGCGTAACAAATTGAAATTTTTTTTTCAACAATTTTCCTAGGAAACTTTTTGATGTTTTCGGGAGACTTTTTGGAAATTTTTATCACATTTCAGTAGTGAATTGGTAAAATGGTTTAAGTCGATTTTAATATTGACCAGTTTTCAATCAATATCCCGAAATGTAAGGGAGGTAGCAAAATTTTTGTCATGACCTTTTTGGGAGAGTGAATGGAGGGCTACAAAAAAGGTTATTACTAAAATTTCGTCATCTTCCTGAGATTCGGAGATATACGAAAACTTAGGGCTAAGTCGACTTAAACCGTTTTACCGCTTCGCTACTGATTTTAGGTCCACTGGAGTTTGATGGAATTTTGTAGATGAGATTTCAAAATTATATGGAACTATTCCATGAAAATTAATAGAATTTGAAACAATTCAGATGAATATTCTCATGAATGTCCAATTAATTGAAAATCCAGTAACTTGATGCTGAATATTTATGTGTTCATGGAAAATTTTGGTAAGTCGGGGAATTCTCGTCTTTCTCCAATTAAAAAATTGATAATTTCATTGAAATTTCAGTGAAGTCTAAAATTTAATAATTTTTCCGCTAAATCGAATTCAAAGTCACTCTGTTGAAAATTACCAATCCACTGTTCATTTAATTTTAATTTTTTTTTCTATTTCTATCAGAGCGCTTGGGAATCAATTTCAGGGGAAGAGTTATCAGTCATCAATAGAAAATTTTGAAAGTATTTCACATGAAGAATTTAAAGGTAGAATTCTCATCTCCTTCTCTATCTTGTAAAACTTCATTTTTTCACTTTTTTTGCTTCCGAATGGAGATTGAGGAAAGAGGAGAGTAGGAAATATCATGAGGCTCCTTCTCTCCTCCCCCTCTCATTTAATTCCCGACATGCGTTCGCAGAGGAGCTTTTCGAACTCAATTTCAGGGGAAGAATTATCTTTCGTCAGCAGAAAATTTTATACACATTTTATATGCATAATATAACGGTAGATCGTAAAGAATTTTTCCTGTATTTTGTATGTTCATAAAATATCTTCAATTAACCTTCATAAAAATAGATTTTTGAGAGAAATCAATTCATCCTTATTGTAATGAATAGGCGATGAATTATGGAAAAGGCGCAGATCAATAAATTAACCATTCAATTCCGTTACATTATTTTATGATTTCGCTGGTGAATTGTCGGTGACGTAATTGTTCTCGTCATTTTACATGGAGAATAAAATTTAAATTGAATGCAGTTTATTACATTAGATTTTTGGACATCCAATTGATGGAGGCAATGCGTTTTGAATGGAGATTGAGGAAACAGGAGAGTAGAAAATGTCATGAGACTCTTTCTCCCCTTCCGCTCTCATTTAATTCCCGACGTGCGTTGACAAAAGAGCTTTTTGAACTCAATTTCAGGGGAAGAATTATCATTTATCAGCAGAAAATTTTATATACATTTTATATGCATAATATAACGACAAATGGACGAGAATTTTTCCTGTATCTTTTATTTTCATAAAATATCGTTAATTAAATTTTATAAAAATAGATTTTTGAGTGGAATCATTCATCCTATTTTATGATTTCATTACGGAATCATCGTTGATGGAATTGTTCTCGTCATTTTACATAGACAATAAAATTTAAATTGAATGCAGTTTATTACGTTAGACTTTTGGACATCAAGTTGTTGAAGGCAATGAGTTTTGCAAGGAGATTGAGAAAAGAGGAGAGTAGGAAATATCATGAGACTCTTTCTCTCCTCCCCCCTCTCATTTAATTCCCGACATGCATTGCCAGAGGAGCTTCGTTAACTCAACTTTAGGGGGAAAATTATCATATCACCGTCGAGGGTACTTTTCTCTCTCTCTATCTACCGTCACGAGACAATTTGATAGTCCTGCACGGGTTAAATCGAGTTTTATACGTCGAACAATCTGGTAATTCGTTGGATATATAGCGCAAAGTATTCCAGGTTGAAATTGAAGTTGAAAATTCAGAGCTCCGGTTATATTTTCACGGTTAATAGATTCAAGGTGGATTTTTCGAGTTTGCTTTGTTCAGACGGTGGAATTAAAGTTCAAACTGGTAAAGGTTTCTATTCAATTCAGAGGTAACAGAGGTTTTGGTTGAATCGGTACTTCCGAGGGAATTGATGGTATTAAAAAATGAGAAATTTCAATTTTCATCATTTTATTTTCGGTGTGTGCCTTTAAATTCGGCTACAGAAACAATTAATTCACGTTCATGCACACAATTCGATTGCCTTTAATGATTCAGCTCTTTTATTACGATTTTTACTGGCAACAATGGCGCTTTGTAAAACTAATACTGGGGGGAAACGAATGAAAACTGGTTGGTGGAAATTTTTTGTTATCATTACGTAAAAGGTGTCGAAAAAATTAACGCCCTCGCAGGCAATTATGTTGGACTTCTCTTGCAAAATTCAGCTGCTTTGGGCGTGTTTTTAAAACAGAACATGTTCAATACAACTGATTTTATTTACATATTTTCTACGGAAATTTATTCTCCAGGGGAAAAATAGAGTAGAAGGAAATGGACTGCAGAGCTGAAATTTTGAGAATATATTCTTCGAGTGATTACAAATATTCTCCCGAAGTGCTGAACCATCAATAATAAGTGCAAAGAAACCCAAACGACGAAAGTTCAATAGACCCGTCAACTTTTCGTCATTTCATTTTTTTTTTCAAAGGATGCAGCCGAGTGTCGGAATCTTTGATATTTTTCCCCACTTCATAGCTTCAACATTTGCTGCGGAAGTTTCTTAAATGTAGGTATATAGGCATACGTAAATTGATGGTATTATAAAATATTCAGTTATAATTTTCATTATTTTAATCACGGTGTTCGCTGTTAAATTCTGTTATAGAAGCACTTAATACACATTCACGCACACAATTCGATTGCCTTTAATAATTCAACTCTTATTACGATTTTTACTCGCAACAATGGCTCTTTGTAACACGAATACGAGGGGGACAGCAGTGAAAATTAGAAAATATTAAATTTCAATTTCAGTCATTTTATTTACGGTGTTTGCTTTTAAATTCTGTTACAGAAACAATTAATTCACGTTCATGCACACAATTCGATTGCTTTTAAGGATTCATCTCTTTTATTACGTTTTTTACTCGCAACAATGGCTTTTTGTAGAAGTAATATTGGGGGGAAACAAATGGAAACTCTTTGGAGGAAATTTTTTGTTATCACTATACGTAAAAGGTAATGATAACAAAAAAAATTTCAAAAATCTCAAAAAAATCTCGCAAGAAAATTATGTTGAATTTCTCTTGAAAAATTCTGCTGCTTTTTGCCAGTTGTTCTTCAAATAAAAAATGTGCAAAAGACATTATTTTACAAAAAAAAAATTAGATAGAAACCTACTAATCCAACATTTTTAAAGAAATTTAATAATTTTTTTATAGAAATTTAATAATCTAATTTTTTTTACGAAAACAAAAATTCAGAATAGAGTTTAATTTTTCGATGCAACTTATTCCGTTGAGATGTTTTCTATAAAAATTCATGGCGAAAAATTTCTGTAGACAAATCTAGAATAGAACAATCAAACTCTATTGATTCCTCCCAAGAATATTTTCTATTGAACATTTCTTTTGAAAATAAACCGAAAAAACTGCACAATTTTTCAATAGAATCGACAAAAAATGAATAGAGTTTTCAATAAAAGTTTTATGAAAATTCCATGGAATTTTGTAACGAATACCCTAGCTTTGTCTATAACTTTTTGCACACGTGTATTGTGAAAGTCCCGAAAACTCTCTCCAACCAACAATCACTCAAACAAAATTAGTTTTATGTCATTCCTCTCATTTTCAACATCAATTACTGCTGAGGAAGGAAGTGGAGCACGGATTTTGGGTAGTGCCTACGAGGCTATTTCATACGGTTACAATGGACTCGGTAGTGGCGTCCAGTTGATTTGGCCAGATGAACACAACTGCACTGGACGCTCGCCGTTTCGTGTTAATTAGGCGTTGCAGGGGTCACTGGGTGCACCCACAAATTCAATACTCGCTTAACCCTGTCTACTCGGTCGGGTTACTCAACCATTAAAACGAGAAAATGAGAATACACGGGGTTTTTTGGAGGAATGGGGAAATATTTATATCACAATTACGCCAGGAATCTCCGTTCAGTAGTGAAATCCGTGAGTAGTCAGACGAGAGAATTTGAATAAATCCACAGTAACATTAGCCTCTGTGGAAATTCCGAGCGTAATGCTGTTCCAGGTATTTACGAAAATTGTTAGAAATATTTATGTAATTGTGGGGAATTAGTCGGGCGTAACTGCATTATAAACTGAGGATTGTTTTTTCACTGCGGATGGGTTAATGGAATTTTTATGAATTGCAAGTGTTCACAGATGCGTGCGTTTTTCATTTAACGGAAATATTGGGGAGGTGTTCAATCGGATGCTTGATCGAGTGGAGAATTATGCAGTTTAATCCG